TTATAGGATTTCACTTCTTTTTGCAAACATCAATTGTTTTCACAGTAATATAATGAACAAGATGGATTATCTATCAATTATCAATCAATAGATTTTTTTTCCTCAATTTTACATCTTTCCATAATTTGCATGGGAATACGTCATAGTGCAATAAACGATAATAGCCCTCAAAGGGTTGAATTTGATAATCAACATTTTGAGGGTTCCAATATTGCGTGAGGTAATAGTATATTTCCTCATTAGTGGGAGTATAGCACGAGCCGAAGGCGAGTGATATAACCCCACGAGCTATCGAAAAATATTTTTCATTACAATCTGTGGATTAAGTGATTTATAGGCACTTTTAGAAACGTCAACTGTACCTATAAAGTCACTTTTCGGCACAGCGTGATGAAAAAATACGTACACTGCACTGATGATACGCGAGGAGGAGGAATAGCCGCGAAAAACTTTTCCATAAGCGGCATTTCTCACGCAGATGGACTGTGATGAACGCCAAATTCATCACCCGTGCGAACAACAAACGAACATTTTATGTAAATAATTAAGGGAAAGAGAAGAGGGGAGGAATTGTAACGGCCGGCGGAAAGGTAAGGAATGAATGAGAGTGTGAAGGAGAGAGAGCAGTAAAATAGAAGAGGGAATAACGACGGGAAAATATCCAGCAGAAAGTGCAATAGTTAGCAACAGAATAAAGAAGAATAAATCCATTAGAGGCAGCGGGGAGGGAATTACCCGACGGATACCGTGGAGTGCCCAGGAGTCATCTGCCGAATACGTGCCCGGCAAGGTCCTCCGCCCTAGAAAGGGCCAAGCTTGCCAGAGGCTAGAGAAACTGCAGACCAGGCAAGGATCTGTGGGGGAGGAGACGCGCAGTTAAGTCGGAGTGATGACCCGCACCCCTGAATGTCGTGGGGATGGACCACCGAAGATGGGTGGCCTCGTCGCGGTAAGAAACCCACCGCCGCGGGGGTACCCGACAAAGAAAAGTACCTGGTGGGAAATCTCCCGGGGGCAAACCGCGCCGACATTTCCCCGCTCCTGGGCGACTCGCGGGGAGAAGAGGACAGGAGAGAAGAAGGAGGGGAGTGATAAGTGAAACGTCGAGCAGAGAGTCGACGGTGAGCAGGAGTAGCGCACGGACGGCCCACGAGAGGCGACCCGCGAGGCCTCTCGGCCCGCGCAGTCGGCCCCGGGCGATGATTCCTTGCTCGAGAGCGTCCCCCAAGGGACCCCGAGGCGAGGAGGATGTCCAGGAGTTACCCTCGAGGCTCCAGCCCGGGTGGCGACCCTGGATAATACCGACATCCGAGGGCGACCCCTTTCCGCTCCGAGAGTCTTGAAGTGACATCGGGAGGCAGAAGTGCGGATTGCCCCAGATAGTTCCCGTCCCGATGCTGCCCCCCGCAATAAAATAAAACATTACATCACAGACGACAGGCTGGAAGTCACAATAATTAAATAAGTCCTTCGAGGAGACGCGTGTGCGAGAGTAGTAAGAGAGAGTAGAGAGATAAGGACGAGTGTGAGTGTGAGTGTGCTGTCCCGTCTGGCCGAGTGTATAAACACGAATAAGTGCATAATA